GTGTGTGGTGTGTGTGTGTGTGATGTGGTGTGTGTGTGTATGAGTGTGTGTGGTGTGTGTGTGTGTGAGTGTGTGTGTGTGTGTGGTGTGTGTGATGTGGTGTGTGTATGTGTGTGTGTGTGTGTGTATGTATGTGTGTGTGTGATGACCTAAGGACCTTGTTCTCAGCCCCACCCTCTAAAAGTCCCATCACCACAGTTCAGTGCAAGTCCTGAACACATGAACCTTTGGAGAACAAGTCCAGCAAACCAGAGCAGCCTGCTTCTCCATACCCTCATCTCTTTACCCTCCCATCACTGACAACAGGTGCCTCTGGCTGAGATCCCGGTATCAGGCCGCTGAGTCCGGTCAATGTTATTCTGTTTCCTGCTCCCCGGGAAGGATTTGTGTTACCTTAAGTCCCTTTACCCGTGGGACTTGGCAAGTAGATTCCAGAGCACAAGTTTGTTAACTGTGAGCCTTTCTGGGAAGGAAGCGTGGGATAGATTTTTGACTGGCTCTAGATTTGGAGTTCTAACCTAGATGAGAACTTACTGTATGGTGAGAGTTATAAAGAATTTACATACATCACCTCACACTGAGTTTGTGAAATGCACCTATTTCGTTTTATCCATTTCGTGTTGGTAGATGAATTCCCTAAGAAACAGAACTCAGCGCAGCTACTCTGAAGGGAGGGAGGCAGTCTGCGCCCTGCTGGTTTGATGGTGGTGTCCCTGGGTTGAACAACTGTTTATTATCGCCTCCCATGGAGAGGAGGGCTTCAGGGGGAACGAGTACTTCCTGAGAGGCCCGGTTTCAGTTTACAGAACAGCCTTCTTTAATGATTCAGTCAAACTAAATTAAAAATCAAAATAGACAAAGTTAGCATAAATCAAGTGGGTAGAGATTTAAAATATTAACGATGTAACATTGGCTTTGAGTCCAACCTTTTTCAGAAAGAAATGTGACATAAAATGTAGACTTCCCACAGAGAATCAATCCTCCCGTGAATCCAAATCTTCCTTGGAGCTTTATTAAAAAACAAAACAAAACGAAATGAAAACCCAGCCCTCTGAGCTCCACACAGGGTACTCAGCTGCTCCGGGGCATGGACCCAGCACAGAAAGGCTCCAGTTTTTAGGACTCAGCTGTTGTCACCACAAAGAGTCACCGAGGGGGACCAAGTGTGCTTTACTAAGAAGATCAAAGAGATCCACTTGTGGGAAACACTGAGTGCTTTAAATGAGTACTTTGCCTAATTTCCCCAGAAGTCGCTATCAGCAGCATCAGCCGCCTGCGGCACAATGGCTGACTTAGAAATAAATGAAGGGCCTGTCCCAAAGCCTCAAGGCCATCAACTCGCACTGGCTTTCCTCAGAGGAACCCCATTCAGAGTTCATTTACTGTGTAAGTTCACTTCTCACAGAATGGCACAGTCAGCCTGGGTTTCAGCCGGCGAGGCCATGGCATTCTGTTATCACGATGCTGCCTACTTCAGTGGGTGTGAGGGACTGGTGAGAACCTGTGCAGACAAGCTGGCAAGATGGCTTCGTGGGTAAGGGTATCTGCAGCCAAGCCAGGCAACCTGAGTTCCAGGTCTGGAATCCACATGATCAAAGGAGAACCGACTCTTTTTTTTCTTAAGGTTTATTTATTATTATGCAGTGTTCTGCCTGCATGCATGCCTTCATACCAGAAGAGGGCACCAGATCTCATTATTGATGGTTATGAGCCACCATGTGGTTGCTGGGAATTGAACTCAGGACCTCCGGAAGAGCAGTCAGTGCTCTTAACCTCTGAGCCATCTCTCCAGCCCGAGAACCAACTCTTGAAAGTTATTCTCTAATCTACATACTCATGCTGTGACTAACACACACACACACACACACACACACACACACACACACACACACACACACACTATGTGCAGAGTTCCAGTTGATTCCAGAGAACCTTATCCATCCAGAAGGTTGTCCAGGCTTTGCTACCTCAGATCCCTGCTTAACTGTCAATGACTACTGTTTGCAAGGAGATCTTTGAAATGAGTTCGCTAACTGATTCTTTTTAGGGTCCTATTAGGTTCTGATATAACAAAAAATTCTAGGCAAAGCTTATGTGCTCATACACCCATGCAATTTGGACCAAGTTTTAGATCGCTCACACAGAGTTAATGGAACACACTTATGGATTGCTAGTTAAATAACTTAAATTGCAACAAACATTTCCCTTCTAAAAAAACAAAAAACTTTTTTTTTTGTAAGACTGTCTCATGTAATCCAGGCTAGCCTTGAACTTGCTATGTAGCCAAGACTAACCTTGAACTCCTGAACCTTCTGCCTGAGCCTCCAGAGTGCTGGGATTATAGGCATGTACCACTACACCTGGCCAATGAATAGTTTTATCAAACATGACAAAAATGCTTTAAGAAATAGTTTTCACTTGAAAAGAGAGGTTTGCTGATCATTTATAGAATGGCTGGCTCTTCGATATTACAAATTAAGTACATTGGTTTTTTTAAATCTCCTTTTTATCTCTTGTCCCTTCAATTACTAATATTTATTGAACATCTATTTTGGGCTCAGTGCTATATGCCCATAATTATTTGATTTACCCAATAAAAATGAGAAAATAGGGTTAGGGCCGTAGTTTGTAACTACAACACTTGCTAAGCATGCGCAAAGCTTGATCCCAACACCCTCCTTCCCATCAAAAAAAAAATTAAAAACCTGAATTAGTGATTTTTGTGTTTTTAGGTAAATCTCATTTTCTGTTTCACATAATAATAAAATATGAGGGAGACATGATGCTTTAGTAGGACAACAAACGGTCCATGGAAAGTTGGCACCAGACTTTCTGCTAAATGCAGAAATTTACTTATTTTTCTGTCCACTTTCATCCTGTGAGGCCAATGGCCTTTTATACCTGTTTTATGGATGGAACTACTGAGGTACAGTCTGCTTAGAGCACTTGATGGCAGAGGTGATCTTTCTCCAGACCTGAACCCCCCACTGTGCTGTAGTAAGAAGGAACAGTGTCCCCCAGACTGATCCTGTTCACACACAACTGGGAAAAGTGGGGGACAGAGGGGAGAAATAGGAGATGGAAAACTTTTCTCCAAAGTAGAGTGTTGGGGAATATTATTTTAAGGTGTGTTACTTTTGTTTATGTTTTGTTTGTTTAATTCTGTGAAGTTGTGTTACTGTGCCTGTCTAAAACACCTGATGGTCTAATAAAGAGCTGAACGGCCAATAATGAGGCAGGAGAAAGAATAGGCGGGGCTGGCAGACAGAGAGAAGATATAGTAGGAGAGATCTGGGAGAAAGAAAGGTCTAGAAGTGAGAGGAGAGGAGAATACTAGGGGCCAGCCACCCAGCCACCCAGCCACCCAGCCATCTAGTCACAGAGTAAGAGTGAAAGTAAGATACACAGAAGTAAGAAAAGGAAAAACTGCAGAGCCAAAGACAAATGGGATTATTTAGGTTAAGAAAAGCTGGCAAGAAACAAGTCAAGCTAAGGCCGGGCATTTATAATTAAGAACAAACGTCTGCGTGTGATTTATTTGGGAGCTGGGTGGTCGCCCCAAAAAAGAGCAAAGAGTAAAAACAACCAACAACAGTTGAGCTCTTGGGAGCTTGAGGTACTGAGAATGAGAGGAGGAATGGGTGAGAACCCAGGACTTACCTTAGACTCGGCTTTTCACAAACCTCTTCTCTTCGGGTTCCAGGATCAGCAGGGTGGAGGAGTCAGCCCTGAGAGCCCTGCGGCAAAACTTATTTGCTCATTCCTCAGACCTGCTTGCGGAATTTCAGAAGCACGATGCGGCTGAGAGCGGTAAGGACAGAGGAAGCACACCTGGGGAGTCTGTGCAGGTGTGAGCGGGCTGCTGAGGGGGTGAAACACCAGTGTAAGACACCGGCTTGATGTAGTCTTTGTGAATGGAGGAATGAGAGAGAGAGACAGAGATAGAGACAGAGAGGAAGAGAGACAGACTAACAGAGAGACGGGGTGGAGGGGGAGAGGGAGAGAGACAGACAGACACAGAGAGGAAGAGAGACAGAGAGAGAGACAGACAACAGAGAGACGGGGTGGAGGGGGAGAGGGAGACAGACAGAGAGACAGACAGACAGAGAGAGAGACGGGGTGGGGGAGAGGGAGAGAGAGAGAAGTGGAGAGGAGAGAGGGAGGTTCTCCCACCTCTTGTTGCTGAGCCTATCAGCCCATATTCTATTGTCAAAGCTAAAAAATTCATTTATATTCAACTTGATGGAATTACTAACAAAACTTTGATTAATTGCAGCCCATCAGAAATGGAAGAAACACTTATATGCACTTGTATAGGTTCTTAAGGGTTTTAGTGAACAGAATATTTCAAGGGATGGAGAATATTGGTTCTTTCTTTCTTTGGTACTGGGAATTGAACCTAGGATCTTGTGTATGCTAGGTAATGCTCTGTACTAGGTACTCCAGCACTTACCTTTTAAATACACACACACACACACACACACACACACACACACACACACACACAC